TCAAAGCTGGCGTGAGGCACCGCACATTTTCACGTCAAGTTTGGATTTTATAAATCACAACCTTGGCGTAAAAAGTGGCGTATGCACGTTTTTGGGCTTAAATTGTGCGTACGCCAGTTTTATAAATCCGACCCCTGCTCCTTCTCTTCATACGCGATCTCAGGTTAAAACTCGATATGAAAGCTGACAGGTGACATGCAATCCCCCAGGAATACTAGGCCTTGTCTTTGTTTGAATCTGTCTCTAACAGAAGCAGGAAGTGTCTGCTGACCTTGATGTGTCGGTTCATGGCGGTGGACTGCGCCGCCCTGACCAGCCCCTCCAGTTCTGCTCCGCTGTAGTTCTTTGTCTCTGAAGCCAGCTCTATGATGTCAACATCTACTGCCAGCAGGTTGAAGCTTTTCATCTTGCTGGTGTGGATGTTCAGGATCTGGACGCGGCCCTTTTCATCAGGCAGACCTGGAGGGGACAGGTGGAACGATGTGGCAGAGGAAGACAAAGACAGTGAGGTACAAGAAAAGAGAGTGCAGAGATAGAAAGGAAAGTATAATGAGTGCGGATAGACATCACAAAGATAAAGAAAAAACAATTGTAAGACAGAAAACATGTTTTTTTATCCAGCTGGGTTTTAAAGGCTGGAGATGTTGGTTCTAATTCACTCATGTCCATCTGAAATGACTTGTAGTTTCTGCTAACAACCACCTGAGCAGAGACGTCAGGAGAAGTTGGAATAAAACTCACCAATTTCCATCTTCACTTCAAACCTGCCAGGCCTCATCAAGGCGTCATCAATCAGGTCGGGTCGGTTGGTCATCCCTGAAAGAAACACATGCAGTGGTTTATGGAACACAGAGGCAAAGGGAAAGAGTAGAATAAAATTATTAGAAAAGAAGCAGGCAAAATAAAAGCCAGCCCTAACAGATGATTTTATTATTGGCTTCCTTAAAGGAAGCTGAGTTTTCTCTGGTCTAAGAGGAGCAGTATCTGCTGATCACTGCCACCAACACTAACCGACCTTTGTCTTCAAAAATGACAAAATATTTACAGTTTAAAAAAACCTTTTTTCTTCTGATACATGCAGCTTTACTTAAACTGACAGTTCAGAAGTTATGAAATTAGGTGTTGAAAGGTTTGAGGAATTAGGACCTTAGTTTAGGGAAACAGAGATGAACTCTGATAGGCCTGATGAGCTAACAGTCTGAACACTGTGCTGCTGTTTTTATGCAGATTTTGTAAATCTTTATATTGCTTTATTCAAATACAGAATAGGAATACATCATATTTCTCCTGAAATAAACGTCATTTTAAACTGATGTGAGGGGGAAATGGATTGCTGTACAAAATATTTGTCCAATCGGAGTTTTAGCTCATAGATATGATCAGACCAAAAGTCTGACTGAGGCCATTCAGCGTTATCTACATCAAATAAAACATTAATTGTTCATAACCTTTCCACAGAAACCTACTTCAAACTGTTAAAGAACTGAAAGGAGAAGCAAGCATCACATTTTTACAGAGTTTTTGTGGTGAATTTGAATGTTACTGTAGCTAATGATGTATGTGGACCCTCTGTTCTACTGGGTTCCTGACTCAAACCACAAAGTTCAGAATGTTCTCAGTTCTTCACCTTATTTTTCTGGTCGAAGGTGAAGAAAATAAAAAGGTAAGATGATTTGTGGGGGTCCATGGGTTCTCTCCTTACCGATGACCAAGATGTTGTTCAGCTGCTCCACGCCGTCGATCTTGGACAGCAGCTGGTTGACCACGGTGTCGTGCACGCCTGTGCTGCTGGCGCCCGTGCCTCTCTGTTTRCAGATGGCATCCAGCTCATCAAAGATAATGATGTGGAGCCCGCTGTTGGCTCCCAGCTGAAAACAGTCAGGTTTTGTTCACTTGAACTCCTAGTTTTTGAACTATTGAACACACAACATCAAGGTTCCCTACCCTCTTCTGCTCCTCCTCTGCCTCAGCGAAGAGTTTCCGGATGTTGGCTTCAGATTCTCCCACATACTTGTTGAGGATCTCCGGGCCGTTGACGACCTTCGGCTCTCGAGCGTTGAGCATCTTACCKATCTGCCTAGCCATCAGTGTTTTACCACACCCTGGTGGTCCAAACAGTAAGATGCCCTTCACGTGCTTACAGCCTGGAACAAAGACATACAGCTATGAAAAAAGGAGAAGAGCAAAGATATCAACAAAAAGGAAGAAAAAGTAGAAAGTGGAGATGCAGGTAATAAGGAAAAACCAACAATGAACCAAAAGAAACACTGAGGAAAAGAAAAAAAGATTACTGTATATGTTTAAAATAATGTTCAGTGTAAAGCCAGAGAGAGAAATCAAAATGAATCAATTAATAAAGTGAAGACGTTTTTTTAAATTGCTCCATTTTTTTTGCTTTCTCTTTTTCCAGTGCAAACTTTGTCCTTGTGTTATTTTACTCTACATATTTACACAATTTCATTTTCACAGCAGTTCATAACTGGCCTGACTGCTTTCAGCACTGTAAAAAAAGTTTTTTTTTTCCTTTAAGTAAATGTTTTAAATCACAAGATGAAACAGTCTATACTAGTGTATCAGGT